TTCCTGCTTATTCCTGCTATATTTCTGTTGTGATACTACCACTACCTTGAGGTGGGGGTGGTGTGGTGGTAAGTGAAGTGCTTACCACGCGACCACTCCGGGAGTCAATTCCGGACCGACTCTCGCCTAGGCCGATAATGCCTTCTACCCTCACGGGATGGTGAATGAGTACAAGGAGGTCTGGAAGGCGAAGAACGTTGACCGCTTGTAATTCTGGCCTCGCAAGTCATTGTTTGGGCTACATCGCATCCAACAAGCCAATTCGATTCCGTCTTGAAGTAGATGCGTGTCGCATCCCCGAAAAAGGGATTTGTCAGAGGCTTCATCCTTTGACCTTTATGTTTGTGATACTACCTCAGCCCTGGAGAAGGCCCCTTATTGGCAGTGTACTCCATTGCCTTCGTCATGGGCATGGGACCAACATCAAGGAACGGGGTCGTATTAAGGCACTATGAGGTTCGCGTTCTGCCTTTTGAAAAGGGTTTTAATTGTTTGTTTTCCCGTTTTACGCCTGCCATATCTCCCTTGTGACTGTAATGTCTCAGTTTTAGTTTTGAAATTGTGCTAGACGAATGCTACTAATTTCCTCTACTCGCTTGTCAAAATCATCCAGAAAATCATGGGAAATTTGAAGTTTTTGAAATATTTCAATCTTTTTCAAACAATTTTGGAACTTTTACAATGTTGTCGTTCATTCACGAGGCGTAATTCTCGGGACATCATCGTAGTGAGATATCGATTTTACCGCTGATAAATAAGTACCCATGTATTTTTTCCATGTCAAATTTTATCGTACCCGTACTCATAGCAATCCTGATAAAGGGTGGGGGAGGTCGTATTCGGCGTCGTGAAGAATTTTTGATTTTTGATTTTTTTGGCGTTTCAAGCGCACTATATACCCTCTCTGGGCGATGCTGCTCAATAACGTTTCTTCAAATATCACGTTTTATCTCGATTTTTTCCTAATTCTCACTGTTGATCGGAACTTCTAGCTCCTCCTCATGTTGGTCTAATGAAGGCGACCTGAAGGATGCAGGGGTCGAACAAATTTCCTTTGACTAGGAGTCGCTTTCAAAGGAATCAGGTCAGACAGGGTGAAAAAGTGCCGTTGTTGGAAATTCCTCAGCTCCTCATTGAGATAGTTCATTATTTCACCAAATTAGGACCTAATGACACCTAAATCAAGTACGGTGTAACAATTCCGGAAATTAAAGTCTCGCGGCACTTGGAGACATGCTTTGACACCGAATAACGGGATTACCAGGACCATTCGAATTTTGAAGGGTTCGTTTCCTCGAAACTGTTTGCGCACAAACTTTTCCAACTGAATTGTCTTGAAGAGCAGCCGAAGTGGCTCAGGGGCAGGGCAAGAGACTGTTCGTTAGAGAAGGATGAGCGATATGATAAGAAACCACACAAAGGTCATATTTAGCCCATATTTAGCCCCTAGCTTCCAATTACTGCAGCTCACTAACCTCTAATTGAACTATAATCACCTTAGGAACTTCTCAGTTTTCTCTTCCTACTAAGCTTATTCTTTACTATTTTGAGATCTGCCTTACATATGGCTCGCTTATTCGAAATGGTTTTCACAAATTTTGTTCAACTCTGTGTGAAACTAGTATACTACTGCGGAAGGGTAGCGCTGAATTTACGATCGCCCGTCTATCCACGAATGTTTTGAGTTCCCAGAACAAAAATAATCCTCTTTCTCAGACTCGTCGGATTTGTGACGGCATCACAGCAGAATCCCAATTCACGTTAATTAATTTTCGAATTTTCAAGGAACTTCTTCACTGGGAAGGTTCAGTATCTGCAACTTACTGAATAAATGTCGCTGGCTCTCCATCGATATACTAGTAACAGACATGTAAGGATGCACTCATTGGAGAAGACCCTAAACATCCCACTAATCCATAGAAAACGGATATTTTCGTAGTACATTCATCCATGCTATGCGTGCCAGAGTGTCCCGTTGATGGATGATAACGTCATCACTCGAGACACTCATAATCATCTAAGAATTAACGAGTTGAGCCAGAAAGAGCTAAATTTAGCCTAATTTTTCAGGACACGTCCTGTTCGAAGCATCATCGCCGACTTGGACAATGGAGTTGAGAAAGGTGAGTGGTTATTTCATTTCTGGTAAGGTATGATGTACACTAAGGCAGTAGATCTACCCAGGGGGCTAAGTCGGTCGGAAAGAAGTCAGGCCTTTCAAACTACTGGAAAGCGGGGCAGATACGTCTATAGCGTCTACTGCGGGCCAAAAAGACATTCTGTGCATAGAGCCCAGCATCAAAATTAGTTTTGAAGGAAATGATGGGGCGAGGGTGAACCACTTCGGAAGCTGACCTCAGGGCCCTCTTGCTTGACAGAAGCCATCCATGAAAGCCATCAACCGCGGCAACCTTCCCCGGCACCTTCACGATTTGCGTTTTGCGCTAGAGCTCCAGTCTCCAAGAACCTGCACGCGATCGATTTAATCTTGGGAACTAAGTTGCTGCTGCTTTAACGTGACGCAAATCCTGCAGGTCTTCTTGAGCTCGTAGGCGACGATAGGTGGCTTCACCTTGTCGCGACTGTAGGAGCTTGCTAGCTTTTGCTTAAAGAGGAATATTTGAGAAATAACAGACCTTGGGCTTCCTTCATGTCGTCACACTCTACAGGTAAACCTATGGTGAGCGCCAGGAGCAAAGTGTGCATTTTCTGGAGCCCTGCATAAATCGCATCGATCGCCCTGTTGAGTTTGATGAGGAGCGATTACAAGCGGAATTTATGCACCTACACAAAAATATGTAGGACTTCATCTGATGGAGGAACGCCTTAGAAACATTTTTACTTTATAACAGTACTTTATGTAACTTTATATAACATTTTTTACTTTATAACTTTTTACGAAACACGAGTAAATTTGGCGCAAATCGGTCAGGTGGGGAAAGAAATAGAACCTAGCAAAGCTTGAACAGGGCATCTGCTGAAAACCCAGGAATTCTATCTTCCAAAAAAGGCTCACTTGCACCATTTTGCCCCCCCCCCCTGATCCGAACAGCGCCCGGAAATCTAATGGGGCGCATCGAGCCAAGTGTCTCTTTACCTATCCCTCCCCTCGAGAGCATCTTAGGAATTTAACGAGCAACAGGGACAAGAAGAGCGTACTTATTTTCAGGAAGACGGAACAAGAAAACTACTCTGCCACAACTTGGTGGGTCAACCACCCTCGCGACATTGACAAAGACCCAGAAAGAGAAGGACATCTGTGACTACAGTAAGTGTAGAGTTATTTTCAAGCTCGTTTATGTTACCATAAGAAATAACTAAAGTCATTGTCTCGTATAGGGCATAGCTGTGAAATACAGAACAGCAACAAGCACTCCTGAGAGAGGTTGTAATCTCCTTGTGGGAGATTCGTATAAAATGAGACCCCCCCCACCACAAGTTTCCCCCTTTCAACACGACCCCTTTCACGACTTACCTCTTTTCTTGCCCAGTATTCCCCAAACTTCTGCTGTCAAGGCGGTATATACAGTCTTGTTCGCTGCGAATGCTGAGGCGTGCAGAGGGGAGGAAGTTGGGTTTGGTGCGGCGCCAACCCGTTATCCACCAATTGCGCGTGCAGACAAGAGGTCACAATTGGTGGAAAACGAGCTGGCGCCGCGCCAAACCTGGCATACTGACAAACATCAGCATCCCCAGCAAAAAGATTGAATAGCACGTGGGACAGCAAAATTCAAAAAAAACCACTCAGAAAAGACGTCACAAAGTGACGACCCCTCCCTCCAGCACCTAAATACGACCCCCCGTTGTGAGTTCCACAGCGATGGTGTGCCCTATGGGCTAGCTTCGAGTCCGACCAAGTTAACCCTTGGTCTTCCTTGGCCTTAATTGAGCGATCTAACTCCTTTGTCGATAATTAGCCAGGTTACCCAGAAGTAATTTCTTCGAATTACTCAGTTTTTGGGCTAACTTACATGACCAACCGATACTTGATCCTCATTTTTACTGGTTTACGAGAGGGGCAAGTCATCGCTAGCACAGCACGGTGTTCGTCTCTCTTAATCTCATCATCCCAATTAAGCCATCGGTCTTAACATCCACGGCGATTTTCTGTAGTATTACTATTTTGCAGGAAAAATTCTCTTGTATTTGTTTATTCTCAATGTTTTCAGTAGAGCAGCAAGCTAAATCGGCTATGGCTTCATCTGATTCACTGTCATCGTCGACCACAACAAGATCCACCCATTCCGGTAGAAAACTACAAGATCATCTTACAAATACTCATCATCAACAATACAGTAAGATAAACAAAAGCGTTCAAGTTCATTTTATATACCCTGCCTGAATTCAGCCCCACGGACGTTCGCATCGTTGGCGAAGAAATGAGAACGAGAAGACGGTTTTGGATGAGGAGACGATCCTCAGAAAAAGTCCGACTACATCAGGAGCACCTTCACCTTCACGGTCAGTAATCCATCCTGTCACTTTAGTGCTAATCTCATCTTTATATTACGGGGAACATTGATTTCTCGTTGTGACGTTTCTAATAAGCTTCGTTATCGATGAATTACATTCAAGGCTTGACGCCGAGCCGGATACAACCCCTGCAGCTCAGCCTTCAACAGCGAATCTGACAGAAACAGCCACTCAAACCCTCGTAAGTACAGCCTATGTACTCTTTGGATTATCTGTACTAATTCGACTTGCGTAAGCGGATGTTTCTACGAAATCGGTCTATTGCGCTTGTTCCTCGGCTTTTATGAAACCTATCTGTTTTTTCGCTAGTGAGCTCATATCCGCTTGCTGACTACTCCAATCTCCTTAACAGATTTAATGCGCTAGGATAACGCTTCCATTTACAAATGAATCAGTCATAAACGATGTTGTCAACATCCGGACGTGATTTCGTCATTGGACATGTCCATAGTCTTACTCTGCATATCTTGGAGATGGAGAGGGCGTGGTTGCGTACTTCATTCGAAAAAGGTGGCGAGGATGTTTCTAAAAATATTTTGATTTGTGACAGCAGTAATTATGCATTTGTTTAGCAAAGGAGAGGATGACACTGGTCTCAAATTGAAACATTCTACGAAAAACGTATTCTCACGCCCACATGAAGTGCGCAACCACGCCCTCTCCATCTCCATGATACATAATGGGAAGTCGTGTTTGGCCGTTGGTGACAGGGGTCATATTTGGCCGATATTTTCCACAACGCGTATGCGCTGTTTGGGATGGTTAGCTGACTACTACAAACTTGTTGCGGGGTCCCAACCGTGAAGAGCACAAAGATAAGGGACAATGACTTCCAAAAAGGCATCAAAAGGCAAAAAAGGGAAATGCCGAGGCATTGGATGGATTTCTTGGAGAGGAAGCCATTCCAGGGTGGGCGAGCCCCTTACTGTGCGTGAAAGTTGCAATGTGTGAGGTCACTGTTGTAGCTGAACTCCACCCCAGCAGACGGGAAGGCGCAGACGAAAGCGAAATTGACGCGATTAGAGGGATTGAAATTAAGTTGTACAGAGTAGGTAGCTTTACTGGCGAAAAGGGATGATCTCACTGTTGATCATGTGTAACGGATACCGAGAAGAGGTAGTATCACCAAGATGGTGTAAGAATGATTTGGAAATCGAATTTAGACCTCCTCACAATCCAGGCCAGGCATTTTCCAAGGGATGCAGTTAAATACTTTACAAATTCTAATAACATGTCTCGATTACATCAAAGCGTGTAACATTCAACTTACCAAGGGTTGCCAAACGGTTTGCAGTTTACCAGTCCCCTTGAATGCGCCACGCATTCATCCCGTTGAGAACTACAGTGGCATTTTAAATGCGGCTTGGTCCATGCAATGACTTGTGGGCATCAGGCAATGTGCAGATCAGTGCTCTTATCCACCCAGACAAGTATGGTACCACTCAGTTCGATATTACTCTAGCGAGATAAAAGGTTTGCTTGCCCCGAGCGAGAGCCGATCGTAGATTCGACCCTTAACCTTGCGGGCGGTGAGCGGTGATGTTCTCGACTACCCCACTTCCTCCCTTAAATAAACATCGTAATGCTCTTATAATCAAGACTAAGCTGGTCCTTCAACGCAAAAGTTATTGAGCTATTCATTTATGCTCATATTCGACCAGGATCGACCTTCTCTTAATCTTGGCATTGTTGTATCTTCAAGCAGGTGGATAGTTTGAGCCGTCCAAGATTTTTATAATTTATTGGCCAACGTTTCGGCTTCCTCGCCTTCGTCAGGGCCTGAAGGAGTCCAAAACAATTGAAATTGTCGTAAGACTATTTCGATCCTAACAAACCACCTAACGGTATAGATCGATAAGTGTGAGTTGGCTTACCTTGATCTCAGCCGCGATGACGTGAGATCGACCACCCAAGCTGCAGTACTACTAACAATGAGCTTACACCTCCACTCCGCGACCTCGACCTCATTGTAGATCAAAAACCACATAGGTCGGCGAAGGGCGCGAGTTCACGTGTTATGACTACACATTCCTCTCTCCTGTTCATCAGGGGGTCTTTTGCTGAAATCCACAGCGCTTCCAAGGTTTTCCGCGCAGCGATTTCAGGCTCCTGTGCCAGGATGGACACAGTTACCTGGAATCGACATCTCCATGATACTCAACCCGATGGCAACCAAGTGGCGTCCGGACTTGTGATCTTCGCAAGCCATCCAAGTGCTCTTTAACCCGTACGCGCAAAGGACGGCCCGTTTCCCCTACATATTCACTATCACATGCGAGGCAGCGTATTGAATAGATCACCCCCGACTTCATGCAATCACCTGCTCTACCGGAGGGGCAAACCACACATTCCGGGGTATCACATGAATAGTCATAAAGACGATTACGTACGAGGAGACGTTTCAAGTTGTTGGGGGTATTTCTACCAGCCTAACGTCTTCTTGCAGACCACATCTTGCAGACTCGTACGGATCGCCCGGCTAACTTCTTCCGAGATAAACGGCCAACAAAATGGTACTTTTTCGGAAGATATCACGTTTGTGACCCCGCGTTGTCTGGAAAATCCAGTACGTAGTGGTCGCGACCCCGGATAACCGTTAGATATCCGCAATCTTTCGTGCTATATCGAGCGATTCTTGTTCCAATGCAACATCAGAGGAGACCTTGCTGGCAGTTTTGAACATATTGCCAATGACCGCTTGCTTGGTCCTTGCTGGATGTGCCGAATCATAATGAACAAGGATATTCTTATTGCTCGGCTTGCGGTACCATTTGGTTCTTACCGTGTTCAATTGGATTTGGATGTTGAGGAAGGGCAGCCAGTTCTCTACAGGGTTTTCTCTGGTAAACTTTATATTGATCGACTGTTCATTCAGCAGGTGGAAACACATATCGATTTCACCTTGTGTGTGGCATATTATGAGACAGTCATCAATATAGATCGGAAGAGC